TTGTTGGTTTCTCATCTTCTTTTGTTCTTTGAGATGTTTTTGTATCGCCCTAGAAATTTCTAGTGGGCATTTAGGGCAATCAACAACATTGGGATATCCTCTTGCCAAATGCTATTTCAGGTGGGTCATACCACCACCTTTCGTAATTTGTCCATAATAGTTGCATTTTGTATGGAATTAATTCCCATTGACTTTGGTATCATATTTCCAACCAATATCTTCTTCTTCATTTTTTTGGGTGCCATGTTGAAAGGTTAAATGGTCAAATTCTAAATCTCAACTCCCAAGTATCAATGTGTCACTGCCTCACAGATTCACAGTGTTACATTATCATAAAGAATATACGCAAAAATTAATTAGAACTTAGAAATTTAATGTTAGAAACTACAAGTAACAATTAATCATAAATCTAACGAGTAATTAAATAAATTATATAATTTAAGAAATAACAATCATTAATTAGTCAAATAACTAATTATCCATCATATATACTTATTTAATCACAAATTTAAAATTATCTAATTTAACAAAGAAATTCACAAATTTACAAATAATTATCCATAACTATGTGCACATTCAAATTATAGGTTATCATGTGAAATATATCAATGCCTTTTATTTTGTATTCTTTTAACATATTTAAATATTTCTAAAAATTATTTTTAATTGTTTTGAACACTTTGCCAAGTGTTATCCAATCCAATTAAATAATTAACAATTATTAAAACAAATAATTATGTAAATTTTGAAATTATTTAATCAAACATTTTCTTTATTTTTAAATATATATTTAATTTTCCAAATAATTATTTTGCCTGTTTTATTCTAAAATTAAACAAATAGTTTTTTGAATGGCTTCAAGGACATCTATTATTTTTATTCTAAAATTAATAATTATTTTGCATGTTTTAGTCTAAAAATTAAGCTAAAATTAAAAAAGTAAATATGTAACAAAAATTTTGAATGGGTTTATTGAATATGGACATAATAGATCATCCATATATTTATTGTAAATATTTATTATTAGAATTTAGATCATAGCAAAAAATTAGAGAAATAAATAAATATTTATAATCTAAAAATAAAAAAATAAACAAATTAAAATTTTCACATGATATTTGATTATATTGATCTATGGAATTATGGGCCATGTTAGATCTGCCTTAGCTTTACAACATACTCAGCCTATAGGGTTAAATCACATAAAATTAAAGAATATTATTCCAGAAATTAAAAAAGTCAATTATTTAGAAAAAATTCAATTGATCTATGGATATGGTAGATCATCCATAGATCTACAACATAATCAATTTCCAGAGGTAGATCACAAGAAAAACCTAAAAGTTTCATTTTTTTTTGGATTTTTTACTATTATGCAATTTCTTCAAATATTCACAAAGATCTACATATAGAAGCAAAATAAGTAGGGTTTTTTTTGCACAAGAATAGCAGATCAACATACATAAAGATGTTTTTAAGCATCCAAACTAAAAAAAAATAAAACCCAAAAACATTGACTGAAAATGTAAAAAATTTTGAAAATACATACATATTTTCGATCCTTTTTTCACAACCTTGAAAAACTTGTTGAATCTTTCAATTTTGTAGATGTTTTGATGGATTTTTGCTAGATTTGAATCTCTTGGAAGGTTAAGAAGCTTTCTGGAGGGTTGGGGGAAGAAAGAGGGCCTCTGAAATGGGTTTAAAAGCCCTCTTTCCAAGTCATTTTTATTTGTGTTTCTGTAATAGTAAAATTGTCATGTATCGACCGAAACTCATGAAACATTCCAATACGTGGCCGATACGCCTTCAGCACGATGAAAATAAACGGTACCATTGATAGGATCGCTTCTTGTGCCAATAACCCAAAAAAAACGATACGTATCGGCCAATACGTGACAGAATTTTGAACCTTGTGTAGTACGATCATGAATTCAGAAAAAATTACAAAATTGAAGAAACCCCATTGTGGTTTCTTGTTATTCATGTTTTAAGAAATTACAAATTTGAAGAAACCCCATTACAAAATTTACAGATTTGAAGAAATTACAAAATTTATTAATAATACAAACAAGAATAACATTGTTCCTCTTCATCCTTCCAATGACCCAGACTATCTGACAGTTCCTAAAAATTTTCATCAATTAGGTTTTATTTTGAAAATTTGAGTAACAATAGAGGGCAAATTCGACCTTAATGATGAAAACTTTAGGGGTACTTTAAGACAATATCAAAACAATAAAGATAGAGTTAGTCAATTTCCTAAACCGTAGGGGTACTTTAAGAAATTTGCCCTACATATTATTTGTATGACATTTACATGTGCATAGATGTTCACGGGCTGGGCTTCGGGCCTGACTTACAAAGTGTCAGGCTCAGGCTTCGGGCCAGGCCCCATTCAAAATTTGATAAAAGCCAAGCCCAACCCCGACCCATGAACAAGTCTACATGTGCAAATATGAAGGCACATTGGATTTAAATTGGGTCTAGTTGCTCAATACCTCAATTCTAAATTTTAATATGAGGTTCCATCTAACTTTTTTCCAACTAACTCAAGTTTGAATTTAGTCCAAATACATAGTCTCGACTAATGTCCTAACCAGCCATTGCAGCCATACATTGTGAATATCTCCTTTGTTCTCATGGAGAGCAATTTGGATCTACATCCCTACCCATAGAGCATCACCACTATGTGTTGGGAACATGAATGACGAGAAATATGAGTTCTCGTCTGTGCCCCACAAAGGGGCACCCCACAATGCCCCACAGCACATCCCGACCTTGTATTGGGAACATCTCATGATGATAATACGAGAGATGACAAGACATGATCTAGAGGTGTTCCCAATACAAGGTTGGGATGTGTTGTGGGGCATTGTGGGGTGCTCCCTTGTGGAGCGCAAATGTGAACTTGAGAAATATTCTTAATACACAGCTATAACATCTGGTAGATAGAAGTGTGGAAACAACTCTTGAGCATATCTAAATCCGTGGAGAGATGTCGATGCATCACTGCAATGATTGTTGGAACATTGTCGGGACTGTGTATTAATCATTCATAAGGTTTTTTTTTTTGTTTTGTAATTGTTCATAAGTTGCACCTTACTTCCTTGATGACTTGATTATGGTTATTTGCTTATTTACGACCTACATAGTTGAGTTCGGATGGACACCCCACGTAGTGCACCCCACAGACACCCCAAAGCCCATCCTCTGTGCATTGCAAATATCTCCCATTTAGTCATGTGTAGATGTTCCTAATTGACGGGAGGGATAGATTGTCGGATGGGCTCAGGGTTGACCGGTCGAATGCCCCTCTACCCTATCAAAACTGAATCGGGATCTTCTCTTCATAGAAAACACCTCACACTGACCTCACAACCCCATCCCATAGTGCAGTAGGAACATCACCCTACCTTGTGTTGTTATTTAGGCTGCATTTGGATGTGATGTAAATCAAGAGCCGATGTAAATTTTACATCGGTTCGGTTTTGTATGTTTGGAAAGAGGGTGTAATTATTATTGACATAAAATTACACTCTGGTTCAGTTTTGCGTGTTTGGATGGATTGTAGTTTTACGTTGATAATCGATGTAAAACCTCATCAACTCTAAAGTTTTACATCGATAATCGATGTAAAAACTACATCAATTTTATCAATGTAATACTTTACACTCTTCCACCTATCACTATTTTCAAAAAAAAAAAAAAACAATAGTCGCTTTTTGGATCAGTGTACACTGATTCCAAATGTAGCCTTATGGGGAGATGTTCCCGGTACATGATGGGATGGGGTTGTGAGTGCACTCTATGGGGAGAAATCCCGACTCACTCAAACAGTGCTTACAACCTTGCATTAGGAATATCTTTATACTTATGCACTTTATTTCATTTCATAAGGAGATATTCGCCATGCAAAGTTGCAAGTAGACCTGTTCATGGGCTGGGTTGGGCTAGGCTTTTACTCTTCATAAATAGGATTTTGTTAGGCCCGAAACCGAGCCCGGTCCGACCAACGGGCCTACAACTTGGGCCCGAGCCCAGCCCTGATAAAATGCCTGAAGCCCGACCTAACAGAAAGATGGCAGCGAATCCCTAATGCATTAGGTTGTTTTTATGATTCTCTAACAAATCCCTAATAGCATTCGGACAAACAATAGCATTTGGACAAACAATAGCATTCGAATTTCAGACAAATAATAGCATTCGACTAATAGCATATATGTAAACACTAAACAATAATTTCGTAATACAACAAAATGGCAAAGAAGACTCACTGCCGGTGATTGTGTTCGCCGGTGCTGAGTTCGCAATGAACTGAGATTTTGATAGTGAAAAGTGAAGTTGGTTCGTGTTTGAGAGAGAGAGAGAGAGAGGACTCACCACCGGTCAACCGGAATTTACTGGTTGCTCTGGTAAGTGTTCGTCGGTTCTGTGTTTGCTTGAGAGTGTGAGGTTGTGAGTCACTATGAAAACTGAGAAGAGAGGTTCAGCTAACAGGCTAAGACGAGAAAGAGATGAATAAGAAGAGGGGTTAGGATATTAGGGTCTTTTGGTTTAACTTATAGGTCGAGCCACGACGGGCTCGAGCCGAATTATTTTGGCAAATCCCAAGCCCAGCTCGAAATAAATTCAAACTAGGCTTTTTGGCCCGAGGTCAAACCTATGGGCTCAAATGTGTGTTCAAGCCCGTCGAGGGGCCGGGCCGGCCGTCCGGCTACCCGGCCCATGAACAGGTCTAGTTGCAAGAGGCTCTTGGAATGGTGTTAGCACGGGTTTGCACCGACCGAAGCCAAACTCCAAACTATTCTCCCGGGCATATAATCCAATTTCGTATCTTTGCCTCACATTCCACCGCACTATTCATTCGATATCTCCCCACATCAACGGTCACCATTGCACTTTCTTGGAGGATCGGGCTCATAAGAGCTCATAAGATCCCACCGCAACTTCCTACATTGAGTTGTATTCTAACATTTACCCTAATTCCCACTGTCAAATAAAAAGGTTCTGGGAGGTTAGGGTTTTTCTTTCTCTAGTCGACTGCAGAGTGCCTAGTTCTCCTCCTTTCGGTCGACCTTTTCTTACCATCTCTCGATCATGGCGGAACAGGTTTGATTCGATTCTCGAGGGTTTTCTCTTTGTTTTCCACTATATTTACAGTAGTAGCGTTTCTGAAAGCATTGTTTTCGCTATTGTCTATTGTTATGGGCTCTGTGGTTCATTATTTCCGGTTGATCTTTGATGCCTCTGTTAATGCAGACGGAGAAGGCATTCCTGAAGCAGCCGAAGGTGTTCCTATGGTGAGACATATCACTTGAAACATTTTTTTTTGTAAATATTTAAATTTGTGTATATTTGTTCTAATTCCATAAGGAATTGATTCTCATTGTTTCGCCGTAACAAATCGCTGTAGTTCGAAGAAAAGCGGAAAGGGGAAAAGGCCCGGGAAGGGTGGAAACCGTTTCTGGAAAAGCATTGGTCTGGGGTTCAAGACGCCGAGAGAAGCTATTGAAGGTTCGGTTTCTTGTTCTTTATGTTTTATTGCTCCTTTATTCACAATACGAAAATGAGCAACAACCTTTATTGCATTTTAATACGCAGATAAAAAATGTTGATTACCAATATCTTAAATTTCCCTTACTCGTGAAACAAGTAATATATTTCATGAACAGTCAATAATCCAGCAGAACGAACTTTTAGTGGGATTCCAGGGCACGCTGCATTTCATATCTATTCTCAATGGTTCTTAAATGCTGTATAGCGCCCAGTAGGCGAGGATTAATTTAGGCCATAATCAGGTTTCACTATTTTTTTTTTAGTCCAAAGAGGAGTAAACATTTTTCCATATTTTCTTCTGAAAAATATATATTAAATTTAAGATCTAACTTTGAGTTGATTTGTTTGTTTTCCTTGAAGTGAATAAGGTTCAAGTGTAGTCTTGCTGACTTGTTCAATAGTCTATTATTATCTTCAATGTAGAAGCTAGCAAGCGGTGCTACTTAGTCACTTAAATGTAGTTGCCCCAACTACAAAATATGGAAACGTTCTTCTGAATTATTTTCATTAGTTACTTCAACTGTTTCTCTATGCTCAATTTTAAATTTTTAGAGATCAAAAAGTTCTCAGTTGTGGTTGCTCCTAGGAGTGAAAAAATGAAGGATGGTTTTCCATAAATATTACCTTCACAGTGATGGTTATAAATTAGGTTTCCAACTAAGCTATACTTTGTTCTTCATTGAGTTTTGTCCTTAAATGTTCCTTTAAGTGTTTGTTTTCTGATGTTGTTATAAGCATGTCAGTTGTCTTTGACCTTTGAGTTGCCCCAACTACAAAATATGGAAATGTGCTTCCGAACTATTTCCATTAGTTACTTCAACTGTTCCTTGATGTTCAATTTTAAATTTGTAGAGATAAAAAAGTCAGTTGTGGTTGCTCCTAGGAGGGAAAAATGAAGGATGATTTTCCATAAATATTACCTTCACAGTGATGCTTATAAATTAGGTTTCCATCTAAGCTATACTTAGTTCTTCATTGTTTTCTGCTATTCTTTTAAGCATGTCAGTTTGTCTATTATTTGTATGCTTGCTTTACATTTCAAGAGGGATGTTTATAGAACTCTCTCTCTCTCTCTCTCATTGGGGTCATATCACTGTCGTCATCTCTCAACTGTTTTGGGTTGGCAATACAAATCCTGTGCAATATCATTCCATGAATTCATATCCTAACTCTATTATTTTGCAATCCACATTCATACTTTTTTGGTTTTCTTAGTCCTGAACATGTGACTTGTTAATTCACCTCTTATGTGCTGACATTTGTGATTATTTCTATAAGAAACCTCTACAAGTATTCTGGTGATATTGTTTTTGAGAAAAGGTATTGTATTGTATTAAAGATAAAACATCCCCACACTACGCAGCAAGGAGCCACAAATACACTATCTCCACCTGTACAAAAGTATTGCTCAAACATTACAAAAAATAAGAAAATAGAATTTAAAGAAGAGCTTTATGGTATATCTGTAAAATTTCTGTTCACTGCAATCCAAGAGTGAATTCTCCCCCATGGTTCCTTTACAATTATATCTTCTGATTTCTCCAGAGCTTCAGAAATCCTTCTGTTTCTTTCCATCCACAGTCCAAAAAACTGCCAGAGGAATCACTTTCCAAACTATTTTTTCTTTTTTACATTATCAAATTACTTTCACCCTGTGTCTTTGATACTTTCTTTTAATTGAATTGGGCTCATAATGTTGGATTTGGTCATTTATCTTCCCCTGGTCTGATCTTCATGCAACCCATGTGATGGATAAAAAACAATGTGATTTCATACAACACTCTAATGGATATGACATTTCTCTTAGTCCTCCCCCCAAATATACGTGAAAAAATGAAAAAAAAATGATTGCACGTGGGAAAAAGGATATGTTCCATGTGTTAACAATGTATTTTGTTGTCTTACAGTATGATTTGCTTGTTATTGGAAAGAGCTTATGTCATAAAATAATGAGCACAATTTAGTTTAGGTGTTATAAATAATCTATTTTCCTGATTAGAATCTGTGTTCGTGGTTCATATTCTTTGTGCATTTTATTTTTTACTTGTGTGAAATTCAGATCCTTGCAAGAAACCGTGATGGTCAATTATTATCCATGCAGGAACTTATATCGATAAGAAATGCCCCTTCACTGGGGATGTTTCCATCAGGGGTCGCATTCTTGCTGGCACCTGCCACAGTGCTAAGATGATTAGAACCATCATTGTTCGCCGCAACTACCTTCACTATGTGAAGAAATACCAGAGGTAAGTTATGCAAAAACAACAATTTATATTTACGAATTGATTGTCTCTTATGAGTAGAGGGGCAAAGAATCTAATTGTATCCTTTGCTATCTGTACTTTTCAGATATGAGAAGAGGCATTCCAATATTCCTGCCCACGTATCTCCATGTTTCCGTGTGAAGGAGGGTGACCATGTAATCATTGGACAGTGCAGGTAAATCCCCAACTGACCGATAGAGAATATGCTGTTGGCTTGTTGCCAATCTTGTATCTGTACTTGGAATATTTACATACTAGTGCTTCATTTTCAGACCTTTGTCCAAGACTGTGAGGTTCAATGTGTTGAAGGTCATTCCAGCAGGATCTTCTGGTGGTGGTGGAAAGAAGGCTTTCACAGCAATCTAAGGCTAATCGAAGTTTTAGATAGCAAATAGCTTTAAGCCCCATGGACCCTACCTTGATTTCTTGATCTTCTAGTCTTGCTATTTTATATTTGGCGGATAGGATTTTAAGACATCCATTCTTTTGGGTTGATTTTGAAATATAATTTCATTGTTTTAAGTTTATTTTTGAAAGCCATTGTTTCAATGTTTATTATGGTTTGCATGCTATTCCCCTATCTCATTTTAGTCCAAATTTCCCATAGCTTTCCGGTAATGTTCAGAAGCTGGGTAGTGATCTTAGTCGTTCCAATTTCCAAGGAGAGTTGGATGTATTTGTCTTGGGCAGCCCCGGGCATGAGGTGACCTAAACTTGACTTTTTGGTTGAATGCATTATTTATGTCGACTCCTTTGAGGGTCCAAATGACTAAATAAATAAAGCATAAAAGCCATCCGCGAACTACTAAGATGCACTTGTGAAGGGCAATTGGTAAGAGTAATTAGTAAACCAGCTAGAGTTTAGTTAGATGAGCAACAATATGCCTGGTAAGCCAATCTTCTTTGTTTTCATAATATTTTGGTTGGTACTTGTATCGATACATTATAACGTTTGACTTATTTTCATGCGGGGTTATCGCTTAAAAAATAAAATGTAATTTCATTTGCTGCTTTCGTTAAATCTTTTAAAAGCAGTGTTTTAAATATCGATTTGCCTGGTACCGTGGTCCGTCTCTCTCTCCCGTTGGTGTCAACTTTCTTGAGTTAAATGGTTTGGAACGGTGGATGCTTATTTGTACTTGATTTGTTCGGAAAATCCGAGAAAAGCAATGATGAACATGTTTGTTCACATTTGGGCACGGTGAATGAATAAATGCCTTATCCGTTGGAGGAAGCATTAAATTGAAGTTTCAGATCTCAGCCATCTAATTACTTCAGGTCTCAGCCATCTAGCTGGGAGGACTACCAACAGAATATGATACTTTAGTCATTACAATCAAGGTTCTAAATATCAATATGCCTGAAATGCTGGTAGGGGCGTATCAAGCAGTATCCATACTGTTTTTTTATATATATTTTTTTAAATCTGGTTCAGGGTGGTCAGTTTAAGGTTTCTCCACCTTTTGAATCGGTCAAAACCCTGATACATCCTCTGTAGGTGCTCTCAATATGATATGTATCAGCCGATATTGATTCGATACGTAATGATTTTTTGAACCTTAGATGATCTTATCTTACCATATGTTCAGAGTAATTTTGACATTTGAAAAGAGACTTGAACGACATGCCTCTCTTCCCTGCTAATGTTGCAAGCAAACTAAAAGACACCTACTCAGGACCGAGTCAGTCATATAAACCCGGTCAGAACCAGCACTAGTTGAACTCTTACTCTATCAATTTTAAGCCATAGCAACCCAATAATAACAAGTCATTCAACTATGCCCCCAATAATGGAAATCGTAAATCTAATGCCAGAAACTCAGTTGTGTGCCAATTGTGTGGACATAACGGAACATTCAACAACTACTTGCAGAAAGTACCTAAATCTTAAGGGAATGAAGCTCAACAAACAAGCTTGGGCTGCATCCACTTCTCGTAACCAAGTTGATTTAGCATGGCATCCGGAGTTTTTGGAGCATTACATCATCTCAGTTATGATTAAGGGTGAGTATTTGATTTATTCGGTTAAAAATTGAATCAAATAATTCGAATTAAAAGAAAATTAAATCGAACAAGAACCGAATTATAAAAAAACCAAAATAACCAAAATCATAATTTTCGATTCGGTTTTTAGTTATTTCGGTTAAAATTGAATTTTAATAATATATACTTTATTATATATATTATAATATATATATATATTATATTACAAAATATATATTATGAAATCAACTTTTATTATATTATATATTAGTATATAAATATATAATATATCATGGTTTTTAAAACCGACCTGACAACCAAACCAGTTAGGGGGTCTGGTTACTGGGTCGAACGGTTGGCCCATTCTGACTAAAAAATAAAAAAATTTAAAAAATTGAAAAATGGTCAAAACCGTTTGAATGGTTAACTTGCCGGCTCAGTAGTTTGCTGACCAAAATCAACAGTTTTCTGGTCCGACCACCTGGTCTGGTCCAGTTTTGAAAACCATGTAATATATAATATATTATATGTTACATATTGTAATATATATTACATATAATAAATTAATAATAGAAAGTTTGGTTAATTTGATTAACCGGATTTATAAATCTAAAAACAATTAAATTAATCAAAAAGACAGAACCAAAAAAGTCAAAACCAAAATTTTTTATTTTAACCAAATAATGCTCACTTCTACCTCTGAGAAACTGAGACCACATTACTGTTGGAAACGGTGAGAAACTGAGGATCTCTCTCTATCACTCTTATTGGGTCTTCTACTCTTCATACTTTCTCTTGGTGATCTTCTCTTGCATAATATCCTATGTGTTCCACACATTCCGATTAAGGGAAGCTTGTACCAAACTACTGACATCTTCCTGCTCTCAAAGAATTAATAAAGCTTCCAATTCCATCCAGTTTTACTATAGTCTCTCATCCCTCACAGCTTGTATTTCTCAGATGTTGGGGGACCAGTTGATCCATTGGATCTATCCCATGAAGAATAAATCGATGAGAGAGACTGATCCATCTTTATATCGGAGCGTGGTTGGTGCTTTGCAATATGCCACTCTCACATGTCCCGATATATCATTTGCAATCGACATAGTATGACAGTTTATGAAAGCTTCCACCACTATTCATTGGGCTGCCGTAAAGAGGATATTGCGTTATTTGAAGGGTATGAGTACACATGGCATCACCTTCCATCCCTCATCGTCTCTTACCTTGACCACATACTCTGATGCTGATTGGGCAAGTTGCCCAGTTGATAAGCGTTCACATCATGGGTATGGCATCTTTTTGGGCCTTAACTTAATCTCATGGAATTCCTGTAAGTAAGCCACTATCTCTTTATCTCTTGTTCCAGCACACAACCGGAATACCAGTGCCTTGCTTTCACTTCTTCCTCTCCACCCACTCTATGGTCTGTGGTGTGACAATCTAAGTGCCACACTCCTTGTTGCTAATCCCGTTCAACACTCTCGGGCGAAACATATTGAATTTTTATATTAGAGGTGTAAATTAGGCTGCGCTACCCATGGCTAATCATGATTTTCAGCAGATCCGCCTCAATGGTCCATGGGCCATGCCATAGTTCGGCATGATTGTATGGGCCGTGCCAGGCTTGGGATTTCAAGTCAGCTGTATAATATTATATAAATTATAATAATATAATAATATATAATATATTAATAAAATAAATATTTTTTAATTTTATTATATATTATTTTATTTAATTATTGTATATAAGCAATTGTATACATCAATATTTATATAAAATTAAAATTTTAAGTTTTTTAAATAAATAACTTTGGCCCGGTCCACAGACCAGCCCAGCCTATCATGGGCTCACTTGGGCTCGGGCTTGGCCAACCCCCAAAATATCCCAAGGGAGGAAGGCATGACCCTGCTTGCACTTTTTACAGGCCACGTGCGGATCATGCCATGCTGATCCAGCACGACCTATTTTACACCTCTACTTGATAGTCACTTCCTACAAAAAAAAAAAAAAATTCTTATAAATCCTTGGAATTATTCAATACCTAGTCATGATCAGTTCACTGACATCTTCACGAAGCTGCTACCTTTAACCCGTTTTCGTGACCTCCTTTACAAGCTCATCATGTCCCCGACCACATTGCGCTTGAGGGGGGATACTAGTGACTTATCTACTAACAAGATGTTGGTTATCTCTATTGACCTGCTTTGTTCAAATCACTTTTCAAACTTTCAAATTCTTTGTAAATATCCTGTAATATTCAGTTGCTATAAATACACAAACAACCAGTCGAATTGGTTAAGCTTTTCATCCCAATTTTGGAGATCTATTTCTTAGGAATATTTAAGGGATTTTGCAAACAATAGCAGAATTTAATCCATTCCCTACAATTTAGGGGTAGTTTAAGAGATTTTCCTAACATATAGATTTATTTCTACATGCATGTAATAATATGCCACTGCAAGGAGATATGGACTCTAGACCTATTCAAGGGTTGGACCACGCTTTGTATATGTATTAACAGAATATATTCAGGCCTGAGCCTGAGCCTGGCCAAAAATTTGAAAACAAATTTTTTTTCTTTTTTTATTCAATAAACAAGTGTTTTATTTATATTAAAATCCATCAAAACTAAAAAATAATAAATATCTCACTATTACTTGAAAAAAAAGAGAAAAATAACAAAGAAAAATATTATATATATATATATTTTTATTAAATAAAATATGTTTTTATTATTTAATATATAATATCAAGTTGGGCTTGAGCTCGGGCCGAACAGTTTTGGGAAAGCCCGAGCCCGGCTCGAAAAAAATCTGGCCCAATGCTTTAGGCCCAAGCCCGACCCAAAAAAATGTTAGGCCTGAGCCCAAGTTCGTGGGCCTAAAATTATGACTAAGCTTATAATGGGTCAGGCCGGGCCAGCCCATCGATCTACCCGACCCATGAACAGGTCTAATGGACTCCAACCCTCTAATGATTATATGATGAGAAAAGTAAAAAGACAAAGAAAAAGGAATTAAAACAAAAGGAGTACCCAAGATATTTGATGAGGGGTAATTTGGCCCGACCTGCTAGCACGTGGACACGTGGAAGTGATCTGCTGACTGGATGACAATTCAGGATTTCCTACCACCTCAGCAAGTTAGGTCAGCTTGGGTACCTCGACCAAGACTGAGGTCCGAGTAGTTAGGGGTGTAAACGGGTCGAATTCGAATCGGATCAAAAAATGTCCTAATTCGAATATGATTAGAAAATCTTATATCCAAATTCGATTCGATATCCGACGGATATTGAAAATTAATATCTGAATTCGAATCCGATTAAGTATTCAAATATCTGATTTGATTCAAATTTGATTAATTAATTATTTTAGATAATTAATAAATATATAAAATAACTATTTTATTGATATAAATTATTTATATAACTTAATTATTATATATAAATTATAAAATATTTTATATATGAGAATTAAATAATTGATTGAATTCGGATATTTATTGAATCGAATCAAGTCATATCCGAATTCAAATCCGATTAACTATTCGGTAAAAATAGGATATCCAAA